CCTCCCTCCCCCCTGCCCTGCTGGTGCCCCTCACACCTGACCTATTGCCCCTCGCTCACGGGGCAGTGTGGGGAGGACACATGCCCCCCCAGATTTTTGTGCCCACCTCAGGCGTGCGACTGCAGCTTGGCTAAACCAGCACATGCAGGAGCTACTTTCCTGGCCCAGAGAGCAGCTCCCAGCACAGGAGGGTAGAGTGGGGCCAGACTCATGGCTGCTGCTGCCACCACCACCAGGACTTGCGCACCAGCCATGCCACTAGCTGTGCAAGGAGTAACGTACGGGGGAGGTGCCGAGCTGCCCTCACCTCTGCCAGATGCTTGTGTGCCGGGCACACATAGGTTTGCAAGTAAGTAGAGTCATTTGGTTGAAGTTAAATTCCATTCTCATTCAATGGTGATAAAAAAAAAAATATATATATATTTTTAATTATTGCATTAATTAAATAAAAAAGTGCAGCTGTTAAGTTTTTGCAGATTTATTGGTTTATGAAACCTAATAAGTTTTTTTTTTTTTCATTGTTTTCATTTAAGGATGTAGTTATCTGTGAGCTTCAGCTGTGAGACTCACTAGACCTTGTTGCACATTAGTGTTGTATTTCAGATCTGTTTAAAAACAAAGGATGCACACATGTGCCCAACGCCGCCTCCAATGCACTCTAATTAAAATGCATTGGAGCAAACTAGATTAAAATAAACCTGCATGGATGTAGTATCAGACTTAACCAATTTAATCAATTGATTAATTGAATTTGCTGGAGTGTTCTAATTCGAATGCCACACCAAGGCTGCTGGAACGTGTATCTAACATCTCCACATTTCAAAATGGTGGCAGGGGCACTTTGAAGTTCATGTGGGCATTTTTAATTAGAACAGCTCCTGAGAGCGGCTCTAATTTAACCCCCACCCCAGAGTATGTGTAAAGACTCCCTTTGCATTGAAAGTAAAGTTTCCCAGAACAAACAGAACAACAAACCTCTTGGAGGAAATGAGCTTTCTGCTACATCCCCTGCTCACATCCGACCACCATTAGGTTAACATTTCTAAATATTTCTGAAAAAACTTATCCCATATCCATACGTGTAGGCACACATGCTTGCAGCAGCTCAAGTAGCAGTAGCACAAATTTGTGCTGGCATTTTGTGCCTTAGCACACATGCCCAAACATATACTTTGGTGTAGGGCAAATTGTGCTGCTTGGGGCAAACTAACCCTGCTCAGCTCCTCCTGGATCTTCAGCCAAAGGGAGCTGTCCCCAGCACTATAAAAAGCTGCCCTGGCAAGCAGCTCAGAGCTGCTTGCTCTCAGGAGCTTCTAAGGCCTGCCTGTTTGGTATCTGGGGATACTAGCCTCCTGTGCCAGCTGGACTGCTGCAGCAGCCCTGACCTAGAGTGGCCCCTGCATCCTCTACCCACCACAGCAATCTGGCAGCTGTAATTTGCTGCCAACTGCGATAGCATCTGCCCCCTTGGACCTGTGGCTCCTCCCTGCACGCCTGTCGGACCCAGGCGGGGACTGCATGGCTGCCTGGGCTCTGGCATGGGCACTGCAGCAGAACCACCTGTATCTCTGGGTCAGCTGCCCAGTTGACCTTCATACAGCACTGCTGTCATGTCTCCTGTTGCCCCCACTCTGCCATCTGGGCAGCTATCCCCTGGAAGATATGCTCATTGCAGTGGCCTGCTTTAAACCATTGAAATGTGTCCTCCTGGCCCCAAATGGCCGGGAGGTCAGTCACTTCATTCGCCCTCCAGCTGGGTCCCTGATGGCAGCCCTGATCAGGCTTCTCTATCCAGGTCTCATCAGCAGGGATCCTGGTTCTTTTTGTTTTAAAATGTCAAATTCTCTGATTTTATTTATTTATTTATTTATTTATTTATTTATTTAATCCCAAGATCCTCTGATTTAAAATACTCCAAATCCATGTTTTCCTGTGATTTTTAAAATGAAACACCACTATATGTATATAGGTATCAGCTGGGCAATGTTTTATTGATATATTTACAATGTTAAAGCAATTTAGAAGCCTACAAGTGTCTCAATCATTATACAGTAAAACTTGTGTTAACTGGCATTTTAGTAACCGGCATTTCTATTAACCGGAATTTCCAGCCGGACACAAGGGGAGGAAAGCTCGCACACGGCACCCACCACCTACCACCCCATGCTGCTGCCACTCTGCACCTGGCCACCGCTTCCTCTCCTCTCCCCCGCCTCAGGTAATCGGGATTTTTATATAACCAGCACACCATGTTCCCCACTCATGCCAGTTAACACAGTTTTTACTGTAATAAAATGAATTCTAAATATCTATTTACTTTGCTTTTGGTTTTTCAATCATAAAAAATCAGAGCTCGTAGAAATTGACCCTCACAGCACCCTGGAGGTAGTGTTTATTAGTTTCCATCAAAAAATGGGAAACCAGAAGACAAATAATTTACTGGCTAATAGCTTTTTAAAGCAGTTATTGAATTCAAATATCCAGACACTTGGTTGGCTAGAATTTCTTTACTTATACATAGTAAGAAAAAAACAAAACAAAAAAAAAAAAGCTAGATCAGGAAACTTCATGGGAAAAAAATAGGCCGTGAACAATTAAACTAAGCTTGCAGGGGTGCCGTTTTATCTATGGATTCATCAGAGCACATACCATGAAGGAAGTGTGCTGTTTATATTTCTTGAATTCTAAGGATATGTGCAGATAAAGGGGAGACAGAGGGCCATACAGGACACTGAGATGCAATAAAATTACTTGGTGAGTGAACATGCACTCTTGTTCAGTTTTATTAATTGGTTTTCTCTGGTTAAAGTATAGCATTGCTGAGAGAAACATGAGCATTAGTAAAATGTTAAGAAAGTGGCGTGTGTTAAATAATGCAACTAATTTGCCTTTCCTGGTATTTTTAGAAAAGGGAGAGATCACATTTAACAACTCTTATCTTTTTAGCTGTTTTAACTTTCTAAAACTAAAAAAATTGCAGCATGAATGTGGTAACCTATTATGTTAGGTTAAATGTGAGATGCTATACGTGGATTGTAGTATTCAGTTACATAATTAATTCATATTGAACCTAATGCTCTGGATTTAGGATTTTATCACCCTTCTTGATACAAATCACAGTATGGTTAGCTTTTAAGAAAACAAGCATGTAATAATTCTTATCTCAGTCAGATAACTCTCACATCTGGCAAACGTGCTAGATTTTATAAGCATGAAGTAGTTTGCAAAAGCATTTCAGTGGATGTCTTTTCTGGCATAAGTGAGTTTAATGAAGGTGGCAAAAGCATAAAGTAACTGAAGAAAATATGCAAGAGGTAATGATTTTTTTGTTGATATCTTTTATTGGATCAACTGTATAGTTGGGAGAGATGTTACACAAGCTTTCAGGCCCAATGTGCTCTCCCTTGGCATTTGTACCACAAAGCTTGTGTAACATCTCACCCGACTATACAGTTGATCCAATAAAAGATTGCATCCAAACCCCACTAGCTTCTTGTGCATTTCCTGGACCGTTGCAGCCACAACGCTCCAGCCCTGAAGGAGGTAAGAACTCTTAAAGCAACTTTAAAATATAATATAGTTGGGGTTTCTTACCCTGTGCAGCAAAGATTTATCTTTGAGAAAAGTAGTCATATAGGATTTAAAGTTGGTAATATGCTGTACTTAATTGTGTGGTGAAGTTACAGAGTAGTTTGAGATTAGCTTGATTTATTTGTACAATTATGTATTTGTGTAGACTTTATTTGTCAGGAATATATTGATTGAGTCCTATTAACATTCTACACAAACCTTAATTAGCTTTACTACCACTTTGAATTAACAAACAGCAGCTGCATTAGCATAGGTCTTTTTCCTTATCTCCCAACCCCCTCCAAAAATATTTTCTGTAATCATAGACATCATAGGCTGTATTTTACACAAAAGCTTGCTATAGCAAGATTGGCTGTGACAGCACATTCATGATGTGTCCTTTTTATTTACAGTAGTAGCCATTGTTAACAGAATTTGATACCTGAGATTTTCACGTGTTTGCTAGCTTTATGTTGATGTCACATACAAGGGTAATTAGATGAGCTTACAGTAATTCCAGTACCGGCACAAGGTTAAACATTTCTATATAACGTTTGAAGGATACCAAACTTGAAAAGGACAGACTGTAAAACAAACAAACAAAGACCACCTAAAAAGTAACTTCCCAGGATGAGACAATATGTTCCAGTTCCAACTCTTGAGCAGGAGAAACCCTATGACTACAACTTTGCATTGGAACCACGTCCATATGTGTGTTTGGGTAAGTACAAAAAAATTACTTTTCATGTGGAAGTGTTTTTCATGGATGGTTAGTAGAACCTTTATTTTGCATAAATAGTATTCTCTCAGCAAATATACATGTCATTATCTAAAATGTTGTATATTAAATCATTTAAGAAAATACACATTTCAGTAATCAGAAAATATGTAATATTACGAAAGCAAGTGCTGTCTTACCATTTCAGATTCACTTTGAACTTCATATTGCATGTGCTTGTGAAATGATGCCAAAAATACAGTAAGGAGAAGGGTGAAAACATAGGGCAGGAAGTGTCAGAATCTTTTGGGTTTTGTCGCACATACTCAAACTACTACGATCATTTATTTTTAGAATATCAATGTAAAACATGGCTTCAGATGGGAACAGGCTTCCTAACCCAGGGCAACAAAGCAGTCAATATGAGAGAGATGCAACTGCATTACAACTGTGTTGACAAATATAAAAAAAATGCTGATTTAAAATTTTTTTTTTCCAAACCTGTCCTTATCACTGTGACTATTAATACCAGTCTCTCTTTCCCTTCCACTGGGAGATCCTGTCACTTGGAACAAAATTAGAAATATTTCTTGAGTATGAAATGGTGTTTCATTGTAATATTTTCACGTCTGCCTCTGAATATTTTCCAAAATCTAAGTATGCTACAGATGCTTTTTAATAATATGAAGAATAACAGCTTTGGTTCCATTTTAATCTCTTATATTTATGGAAAAGACACTAGTCAGCTTTTTTCAATTTGAAATTTCTTCAAAATATATGAAATAAGTACAAAATGATATAAAATACTGTAGCAAATCTACGGTGTGGGCAAAAGAACCATATTTCAAGTAGTCTATATAACATTTTCGCTTAATCTTAATTATTAGCTGGGCAAAGCATTCTGGTATCTAGAGAAGAGACACAATTTTGTACCGGTGAATTGTCATCAGTTAAAAACTTAAGGTATTGCTGCCAGAATGAGCTGGCAAAACAACTCTGCATTTCTATGCAGGGCCCTAGTAATTTATGGCTTGAGTCAAGATCAAATCCTCTGAGTTATTGTATGTACCAATTATTTGACTCCCAGTTGAAAATACTATTGGATTTACTGTTGTAGTTCTTGCTCATGGATATATATACGGCTAACAACCAAAAACATGATATGCATATAATGTTTTTTGTTGTTAGCTTTAATTGGGCTTTTGTGAGAAGGGGGAGAAATATGTGAAAGAAGATTAAAAAAATAAAAGGGGAGAATTTTTAAATAAATTATATTTTTTGCTAACTGTCAAAAATGTTAATAGTGGAATTGCAAACAGCAGCAGTGAGGTTTTTTTTTCTGTAGCCTTACAGTATTTCTAAAGTTAATTTGCTAAATCTGTTCTAAGAATTACTCAGTGGTAATTTGGTGCAAATAATATATTAAATTACTGTTTTCTACTCCATTGTAGATAATGGAACATAGGAGAAGTGGCAAAACTATTTCAAAATAGTGGGAAGCCAAAAATAAGTCGTTTTTTGTCTAGATAAGGAACTGGGAGCCTGAAAAATTCAAGAAAAAGAATCAGAGACCAGGAGTAGCTGTTCTGTTCTTGATGGATTTCATGTCTCTTACTTGAGAGATTTAGTATTCTAATATCCCTGACCTAGCCAGCTGTTGCAAATTCAGGCGGCTGCTACTGCTGGTTTCTTAGCCCATGTGAAGTATTTTCAAAAATATTTAGCCCATGTGAAATATTTTCAAAAATAATTTGAAGATGCACTTAAACTCCTAACTTCTGTTGTGTAAATTTAAGGAGATTTTTATTTTTGATTAAAAGTTGGAAGTGGGGGCGGTGATCAGTTTGCTCAACGTTTCTGTAGCTGCCACTGTTGAAAACTGTTGTGTGCTGTAATGTAATGTAGTCCGTCTCTTCCTCCTGGCTCTTACAGTGATGGTTGTAGTCATGTGTTCATCTCAGTATGATGTTCTTCAAATGGTTTGTCATGTTTATTTTCAACATTATTTGTGAATGAATCAAAAGATTAGTGAGGAGAGAGTGAAGGGCCATGCCCCATCTTAAAAAAAAAAAAAAAAA